ACATTCCCATTTAATCTTCAAACCGTCATCATCACTGAACCTCAAGATGGCCGTGAACATATTCATTACTGCTCTATGCATCATGCTTACCGCTCAAGTCAATAGTCCTATGGGGTGGCCTGAAAGCCCTTGTGCTTGATACGTTGATCTCTCTTCAATTAGTTGACAGCATACATAACGTCGCCATGACAACTCAGGCCTTTATGGTTCACTTGTCACTCATCTCTGGAAAACTGCACAGACGGTTACGCATGATGAGAGGTCCCTACCAGAAGGTTTGCATGAGTGTTGCATAATGCTTTTAAGCAATAGCTACCTGTTTTACCTACTGTAAATTATCCTTTGCATGCAAACAAATGTCAGGACTGACAAGCAAACTTTGGTCACTTAACAAATAATAGCACAATAACCTCAACACAAACACAAATGGTGCAGGATGAGTCACTAATCCCCAGTATGAGTAATAGTGATGCAAATATCACTAATAATGCTAAATATATAGTACTGCATTTCCCTGGACATTTTTAGGGGGAAAATTCTCTGGATTTCCCTGGAAATCCATTTAGGTGTTTGCAACATCTTAATGGAATGAAACTAATCAAAGAGATTGCCTTATTAAGACATCCTTTCAGAAAAGCACAAGAACAGCATTTACTTCAAACATCACTGCGCTAGACAGTCTTAAAACGGTTGAAAGTCCAAACAGAACATTTGTGACCCTGGACCACAAAAGCAGTCTTAAGTCGCTGGGGTATATTTGTAGCAATAGCCAAAAATACATTGTATGGGTCAAAATTATAGATTTTTCTTTTATGCCAAAAATCATTAGGATATTAAGTAAAGATCAAGTTCCATGAAGATATTTTGTAAATTTCCTACTGGAAATATATTAAAACTTAATTTTTGATTAGTAATATGCATTGCTAAGAATTTAATTTGGACAAATTTAAAGGTGATTTCTCAATATTTAGATTTTTTTTTTGCACCCTCAGATTCCAGATTTTCAAATAGTTGTATCTCGACCAAATACGGTCATATCCTAACAAACCACACATCAATGGAAAGCTTATTTATTTAGCTTTCAGATGATGCATAAATCTCAATTTCGATCTGATCTGGATCTACATCCATTGTGTTTTTATTCTCCAAAGAATATTTTTGTAGAAACATCTAAGACATCTAGACAAAGTTGATATCGCAATGAAGCATAAGTGACACTTTCTCTGAGCTCTGAAAGTGCAATAAGATCTTCCTCTGTGTCATACGGTGGCAGAGAAGTACTAAACAAATCACAATTCTGAAAACAAAATAACAAATTACAAACACAAATGCAAGTCTAAAAAACAAAATAACAATTCAGAAAGCACAACAACAATTCAGAAAACATTATAACAAGTCAGAAAACACAATGACAAATTTGAAAACAAAATAACAAGTCAGAAAACACAACGACAAATACGACAAACCGGAAGAGGTAGGTATAGTTTGAGACAGCGCCATTGGTTTGGGATTACTCACCGCTGACTGGACGAGACATCTGTCAATCAACGTATACAGGGAAGAACCAGCCGAAGAACAGCAGAGTCGTGGTAGAAAGTTCGGAGATGGTATTAAAGTAGCTCAGTTTGTATGAATTGCCCTTACTATGGAATAAAAAATACGGGGTGTATATTTACATTTAGTTAAAAGTGGCTCCATATTATCAGCTCCAGTGGCGCAGATGGATAAGTGTGTGTCATTGGCTTTTTGATGCGATCGACCCGGGTTCGATCCCGCCTTTTGCCGAACTTTATTTTCCCTCCCTTTTCAAATCTCCTATCACATCGTAAAGGCATTTATTTTCAATAAAAATTAAGGAAATAATCAAAAAGTTAAAAATAAGGTATCGGGTAGGGTTAGGGTAGGTGTAGGGAGGGCTTTATTGTACCAATAAGGTGGCATCCATTTAATAATTAAAATTATAATTTACACTCAATACGTTATTATTGCATACTGTTTTATAATGTACTACAATACTGAAGTGCAGATAATTGCCACTATTTGCAACAAGTAGTATACTTGATAGTAGAAATCCTGCTATTTTAACATAGTGTAAATAGGTATTTGCACTTAGTGTAAATAGCATATTGCTAAAAATACTGCTATTTTCACTTAGTGTAAATAGAATCCATTGCTAATACGAGATTTGAAAAGGGAGAAAAAAAAAGTT